GTACTTAATTATGGCATCCCATCATTCAACACCAAGTTCCTTCCGCAGTGTGAGCGAATCATTAACTGCGGCAAACAGAAGGATCTTAACGTTTCACAGATTCAGTAACAACATTGACAACTATCGTCTTGTTGGGTTCAAACTAATGTTCAACTCTGTTCCGCGTGTTGGCTGAATTCCATTTACGATTGACGTTTAATAAGAAAAATTAAGATACATAAATGTGGTCATCAGGTAGCCGTTATATTTAACATTTTGGTGTAACTTGAAGGTGGAAGAATGTGCAACCGTTTCAGGGCCATCAGTTACTTTGGCAGGCGAAGAATTGCTTTAGATATTTAACGGACTGGACAACAAATGCAGTTTCCTCGTATAACGTGATAATTTTAAGTCATCTGTGTCTCAACGTTTGAATAGTATTTCTTATGTAGGAAATTTAAGTCCTACATTTCATTCGAAGTGTAGGATTGATGAAGGGTTAATCAGAGATGGAGAAGCACAATAGGTCATTGAAGGTCGCAGGGTAAGGGTCGGATTAATATGGCCCACTTTTATGCGTTCATTCGGTCATTCGTGTAGGAAATTTGCACTGCTCCAATGTTGCGCCTATTGTGATATACAAGGAAATTATATATACACTGGGTGGCTTCTAGTAATATAACTTTCATCTCATGTTTCATGAAAGTCTGCTTAATAATTTAACATTTATGGGCCAAACATGAACGGACATCACAATCATGATAATTCATAATTTTGAACCCACTGACGGGCTTTAATGAATATTTCCTTTTAAGACAAAAAAAAAACACTCTAAGATGAACGTTGAATTAAGATTATTTCGTGAAACTTATCCGTTTAATTATTACATCTGTCATTGTGTGGTGTTCTTAATGCCGTTATTGGTAACGCTAGAGCCCTTCGCGCTTTCTCCGGAGTAAAGTATGAAGAGACTTGAAAGAGAAAAGGAGAGCTGATGAGACTATACATATACTATACGTCATACTGGTCAAAGGGTTGAGGGGCACGCGGTAACGTAGTTGGTTGAGGCACTATGCTACAAGCCGGAAGGTCGCGGGTTCAAGTCCCGATGAGGTCATTGGATTTTTTTCAATTTACCTAATTCTTCCAGCTGCACAATGGCCCTGGGGTCGACTCAGCCTCTAAGAGAAATGAGTAAGTAAAAAGTAAAAGTAAAGCTATCCCTGTANAATCCAATGACCTCATATGGACTTGAACCCGCGACCTTCTGGCTTGTAGCATAGCCCCTCAACCAACTACGCTACAGCGTGAATTACAAAAAAACTTGTGACTTGATTTGTGTCCTTCCGTCTTTCATTATTACTTACTACGTTTCTTGTCTGACATGAA